TACATCCTTATTCAGCTACTTATTTATTTACTTACTTTATTTACTTTAATATGGGTGATAAAGGGAACCTATAACTAACTTTTTCATCTGCAGTAACTGGTATGTCTCAAACGTCACTGGCAACTCTCTCAGAGTAACCAGGCAACAAAGTATCTTAGATGACCATATGGCGTCAACAATGGTTGATTATCTGCCATCTGTGGTTGGTGGTGAAATTAGCCATTCACAGACAAAATGTCCCAGTATTTGTTCTCCTGTTTGGTGTTACAGTGATTTCTCACCCTAGACAGGACAATGCAGTAGGTCGGTACAGTAATGTAACATACACAATCAGATGTTTCCAAATATCACCAAAACTATTCATATTAAAAGGATGAAATAAATAATAAATAATGAAACAGAATCTTAACTGCGATGTTACTGTTGGAACAATGCATCGGTGACGTTTTACTAACAAAACTGAATCCAGCTCAGCTTTTGCTTTTGTGATGTGAGGAGTTACTATGGTATTAAAACTGTTCATGATTAATGATTATTCACTAATGAAAGCCCTTGAAATAATCACACAGACGTCAGGAGCCAGTGATTGTAATCTCATTAATGAAGTCTTTATTTCGAATCGTAATTTCGGCAGCAAATAATTTAATTTCAGGGTCACTGACGGACCAAGAGCCTAAAAATAAATGTTATGTCTTAGGTTGCACAGTAGAGGAGAAAAGGAAGAAGGGACAGGGCTATTTTTTCCCGGTCTTATATAAAGGATTTAGCAATTTAGTGGATGTATTTCTTTCTTGTTTTAAGATGATAGCATACACTTTAGCAGGGCAAGAAGAATTATTATTATTATCATGTGTGATTGATCCCAGATTTAATGTTGTAAAGAGGCTCTTAAAATTGTAAAACCATAGGTAATGCAGGAAATGAAACCTGCAGGTCTGTAGAGTATGTACTTATTTCTACGGAGTGACAGATACCACACAGGTATTGTTTGCAGGTGTTTTTACATGCTCTATCCATAGCAGCGAGCTGGTGAAATCATGGACAGCATCAGAAGATTTTTGTGATGTTCTCCTGATGAGTAACCTAGCCCCTTGTCCTGTGTTAAAAGAATTGAATGAAACTTAAATGTCATTTGATTCTGCCTGTAGCACGTGTCTGTCTCCTGTGTCTTTTTATCTGTGTCCTAAATGTGGGTTTCAAAAAACAATTGATTGTCCTTGTTTCATATTTACAGATGGGAAGTTGGATGTGTTTCAGCATAACAAACTGCTCACATCGATAGCGGTGTGGACCACGTTTGGAGAATTAGCCATCCTGTACAACTGCACACGGACTGCATCAGTGCGAGGTAAAGATTTCTGCATTCATACAGTGAAGTCTAAAAGTTTGTCAATGATGTTTGATGATGGACACGCTGACTGCTGCAGGGAGTGAATGTGCAACCTTGTGGCAACAATGACCAAAGTCACGTAGCAAAAGTCTAATGCTGTGTCCCATTTCTTCCCTTTGCTGTCGCTGTTCTCACACTGTGCTTTCACATGAAGCATACTGGTGTCCTAATTTAAAACTTTATGAAGTCAGGCTCTCCATTCATAATCAGCAGTATGAGCTGTGCACAGCGCAGGGTGGGGCACAGAGCACAGTTCAGGGGCTGATCATGTGGACAGAGTATTATTTTTTTAGCCAAACCCTTGCTCCGTGAAAAAGGACATTTTTAACACAGCTGTATTTTAGAGCTACCCATAACCCTTTGCAAATATCTCAAAAGAAAATATTCAGAGCAGCTCGCACTTATTAGGGCTCTGACTTGGTTATGCATTCCAATAAAAACACAATTGGCTGTAATCGTGGGTAGGAAGCCAGTGAGGGATTCTCATCCTAGTTGCTGCACTTGCGGCCCCTTTTGGACAAAAAAACAGGAGTGAAAACGTGCAACAATAAATGAAAATAAAAAAATAGAATGGTTTTATGACAGACACACACACACAAGGTTAATTAACAACAGCTACCACCTGAAAAATCTTGACCAATCAGGTAAAAGATGGTAGCTACCTTTTTTATGTTACAGGTGGCCAATGAAAATTTGTTTCCCCTCCCACCCAGTACCCTTTAAAATCATATTCTCTTATATCCCCCACACTGGGGGGAATGTAATCTGACACTTCCCTGACCTTTGTCTGAGTTGCGGTGACTTCTTAAAGCCAAGCAATCGCCTGATAATGAGAGCAAGAGTCAGATAGGTCATTAGCCCGAAGTAAACAAGCTTTTGCATGTGTGTGTTGACAAAGGCTTTACATGATATCCATAGCTTTGCATTCTGATTGGTTTTCACCTCTTTGGCATTTGAAAGCGCATAGCATGTACTATGTGAGTGCTCTTTGTCCGGGTTTGTATATTTAACCAAGTAATTGACTGGTGGCCCTTGGGGGAGGGATACTGAGTTGACCTAAATATTCAGGGTGAACTGGAAAAACCGTGACAGTTTGACAAGTTTCTGAGTGGGTTTTACATGATAATAGATGAAGTGGATAAATGGGAACTTTCTTTGCTACTGGTTCACGTCAAACTTTCACAGCTACTTCCACCTTGTACTAACAGAAACCTGTCTCAGAGTTTCAGTAGATTTGATGTGACTCATCACCAAGATAGAGGAGAGATTACAGTGTTTTTCTCGCTTCCTTTGTCCATCTGACAAAACAAAACAATACTTAATTCCTTTGTGGCGATAGAGGGGTTTAATTAAGATGGAAAATGTGAAGAAAGATAAGGTAGAAGAAAAGAAAAATATTTTTTTTTTATTGTCACTCACTATTCCATCATGGTTATCTGTCTACAAGTTTTCCTCTGCCATTGACACAAGTCTGGTTTCGTTAACATTTACTAAACAGGTGAACTAGTTGTTTATTGAATAGTCAGAACCTGGACCATGTCCCACTTTCTGATGAATTTGATATTGCTTTTACAGCGGTGAACAAAGTAAGGACATGGGCTTTGGACCGGGAGGTGTTTCAGAACATCATGAGGAGGACGGCTGAGACGCGTCATGAACAGTACCGCAACTTCCTCCGAAGGTGAGACCAAAGCTGTAGCCAAGAAGCAAGCGTCACCTTACTATTATGAAGAAAAGTTATGGCCAAGATAGAGGCGAATAATTCAATTGTTTGATTTTTGATATATGATTTTAATGGACTCCCACCAGCCAGTTAGGAAGAGGAAATATTACAAATATAATATACATCAACTATCTGATGGTTATGGTACAAAATTGCCTCCAGGTGGTAGCTAATATGAGTAATATATATATATATATATATATAAATCACAGCCCAAGTAATTGTGATCTTGGGGACACTGTTTGACACAATAAGAAAATTAAGGAGTTTATCTTAAAGTAGGTAGTTAATTTTAGACAATTCACGGCAAGTCTGACACTTACTGACAGAAAACCACCGTCATAGCTCATGGCAAAACATTTTTATACAGCATTCATATGGTATTCATGTGGCAAAACTGTTTCTTTTGATGGTAAAAATGGTAAAGTTCTGGAAACCACAGCTTCCTGTTTTATTTATATTTATATTTAAATTTATATGAATTTTCTTATAGTGTGGTTTAGTCTGGTTTGGATGGTCTCTACCACGTCCTGACAAAAATATGTACTACTACTAGGTGTTCAACTTCACTAGCAACTCCTTTATTTCTGTTGGTCAGTGCTTGGCAAGAAGCCTACTGCCAGTCTGTCTAAGCTGTGAAGGCTGAGAACAAAAACAAGGAGCCAAAAGAAGCTAAAATCTGCAAAGAGCGACAGAATTGAGCAGCAGATGTACTGAGAAAAAAGCAAAAAAGCGCTGTTAAAAATGTGTAGTATCATAGAAAACCTTACTTTAGAAAAAGATAACATCATGTAATTTGTAAGTTACATTGTTCTGATGTATTACTTGATTACAGTGACACAGGAAATAGTTCTACATGAAATGTAGCATTTGTATAGTAATTTGTATTATAATGTGCATGCAGAAATTAATGTTTATCATCTGTGTTTTGTCTTTTCTGTCAGTGTTTCACTCTTGGCCAATCTACCAGAAGACAAGCTAAGCAAAATAGTGGACTGCCTCGAGGTGGTAAGTTATCCTGTCAATCCTGTCAAACTATCTACATTTCTACTGGAGCGACAATTAGACGTTTCATTGTATTGCTTCAGTATTGCACAACCCTCTGGCAGCTCATGGGAGCCCCAGCATTGCAGATAGCTGCTGTCAAAATATCATTACCATTTGGCCATATACCATTACTGCGTGTCAGCATATTCTTTCTACCTCCAGTCGGCAAGACCTCACAAATTACCTTGTTGATGAACAGAGCCGATATTATTCCTGTCATCGCCGGGCGCTGTATATTGTTACCATAATTATTTGACCAAGGCCCCAGAAAGTGTTTATTCAAATGGGGGACGAGTGATTTCTTAAAGATGTGCCAGTGACAGGCCTTTGGTGTGAGAACATACAAGTGTGTAAAAGTGAATGTGTGTGTAAGTGTGTATGTTGAAACATGCAGAGAGAATGGCTTACTCCAGTTCTCCTCCAGAAGCATTGTATTTCAACGGTGAAGGAGAAAACGGAGCGGAGCTTGTCAGCTTCTGGTCAAAAACAGCCTCTCTCAGCGTCTTTTCACAATGAAAACTTCAAGGACGTTCTTTGCAATCATTGGTTGTCCCACCACTTTCCACAACAGGAGAAATTCCTTATTCAGTCATTTCTGATGGAGGTGATTCTGTTGCCTCTCAGGGGGGGCGGCTGAAACCTAATAGTGGTGCAGATGTTCATCGAGAATCCGCCAGATAATATTGAAGCTTCTTGTCAACCAGTGGGGGAATGGAATTTGGTGCATTCTGGCGTGTGTCTTTGTCTGTATTGTATGTCTGTGTGTGTGTGTGTGAGGAGGGTCTGAGTACCTTGTTTTTAGGATTCTGTCAAGTTTTCAGTCTGATATGCAGATTGGAATTTGAACTGGGAAGCTTCAGTGTCAAACAAGGAGCAGTGTATGTAAATAGAAATGAAAATAACTTGTGCAATATGATATGGGACCATACAATAGGTCATATGTTGCACATAATACTGTAATTAAAAATGTAAAAACTTACGTTGTCCATGAATGTCACTTCTCTGCAAATTGGGGATGACTGAAAGTAACAACTATCATATTTTACCCCTTTTTAAATCCTGCATGCAGGCTCATGTCATGACTGATATTTCAACAGCCCCTTGAAGGCAGTACGATGCTTTCAAGGAGCTGCACAGGACAACCAGTCCACCTGGGGGCCGCCGAAGACTAGGGTGGTCTTAAAAATAGGTTTAGTCCTTCCTCTTGTTTTAGTGTCTCTGTCACTGGAAGCAGAGAAAGACGTGCAGTTGAGTATGTGCTGTGACTGGTCGATTGACAGTCACCAAAAATAGGACGACTGCAGACAAACCCAGCACACACACAGCACAGCGTAAGTGGCATTAGCAAAGCTGATGGTAAAGATAAAGGGATGTATGTGATTACTGGGGGTGAGGGTACTTGACATATCTTATGAAGAGACGTGCTTTTAAACGTTTTAGTGAAAATGTCCTCTTTCTTTCCTGAAAAGGTAAATGTTTGGTTCAAGTTCAGCATTTAAGCTCAGGAGCTAGGTGTAACAAACCCGAGACACAATTCAGATGCTCGCTTCAAATGTCGCTCCCCTGCACAGTCACTGTATCATCCAGACAGTCTTTATAAACAAAGCCTTGGCATGTTGTCTCCGCTGTCACGGGTGGGTGTTAAACTAGACTCTCCTGAAGCGTAAACGGGGCGTAAACAAGCTCGGACGCTCAAGGAAAATGCCACTTGTGTCAAGAGTTTTGACAGTAAACACCAGGGAATGTTTACGCGTGGCTGCTCGGATTTGTTTGTTCACTTTTCACCAAAGTCCTCTGTAGTCAAATGGATTACAGACGTTGTCTCAGCGGCAGGAATTTGGCATCCGTCCCAGGGAACAATTCATCCTGGTCACCTTCATTCTCTGCACATCCCCTTCTTCACCTAAAAGCTTTAAAATGGAAGGCGAACTGGCAGCTCGCTGACTCAGCAGACTGGCTTTAGTGCTGTGGTCGGGATGGTGTGTTAGGTTCGTTATGGGGAGAGACTGACTGACAGCACGAGGTGGAGGAATCTGTCTCTGAATGAGAGCTCAGCGGATTGAGGGAACATACCGTGCCTCAGTGTTTAATTCAAGAATATTTCAAAGTGTCATTCAGTTTTATGATGCTCTTAAAACCGAGCTAAACATTGAAACAAACTTTCTCAGTCAAGTGTGATCTTACTTGTGCACCATCTGGAGTGTGTCAGAGTGAGTAAATGACTGACCTCCCTACCAAGTCTGAGTCTGAGAGTTTATACCATGGCCAGAGGAACTACTTGTCTCTAATTGGCTAGCAGGTGTCCGTTATTATCAAATCAAGATGTTTCAAAGTTACAACACCATTTTAAATCAGTGCGGAAGATGTATTTAATCTGCAAGTAACCATAGCAACAATACTGGGGCTTTAGGCTGTTACCATTTAACTTTTACTGGCAAAACTACAAAATTATAAATATATATATATAATGACTTGAACACAAACTTTCTTTTTGCCTGTGATAAGTGGCTGTGGTATAAGGACAATAGTATTACCCTCCTTAAAGGTGACAAGATGTGTAAAATAAGGGGCTTGGATGCGACTTTGGTCGTCACATCTTCTTTGTTAATCATATCAGAACTTATTAAGACTTCGTAAACGTCATTTCCTTCTGTAGCCACTGAGAATTCTCGATTCTCATATGGACTGGAATTAATTTCCTGTAACAAACAGTATAACCGGACATGATTGTTTGTTTGCCTAATGGGGTAAACAATCTGTACAGCATACAAAGTTCTTCTATCCCGTCAGGACAGTAATTACAGTATGGACAATCAGGATGACAATATTATATATAAAATATAAACATATATGAAAGCGACCTGATATTTATCTAAATTGAAAGTGTCAGAATTTTAAACTCCTAATCTTAGCCCATTTGCTC